GGCGACAATTATCCAGGATGTAAGGGGGGCGACACAGCAGGTGTCGGGGCCAAGCCAACTCCAGATTGCCGGGGTGTACTCTGAGCTGTCCCTTGGAATTGTCATTGCTGCCTAGGATCCCACCTCCTGAGTGTGTCAATGGTGCAGGCAACATGTGGGGAGAGAACTGGAACCACCTCCAGGACATCACGCGGCCCTTCCCCGACAAACAGGACGTTGACTTCACGCCGGAGATGGTTAGAAGGGTGAGTTCGCTCGGGAAAACTTTCAATCGCCAAATGTCGGCCGTAGGGCGCTGACATGAAATTCCACTTGTTCACGCCCAGATTGTATTAACACAGAATGACATTTCTCCGTGACGGGCCCTCAGGCAGATCCCCTAGTGTGGCCCACCAATAGGTTCCAAACCCAGAGTCTGCAGCCACACAGCTCGAGCTAAATATACACACGGATGTAAACTTCCGGGGACCCGTCCTCGACCACCGGCTGCGTATGGAAACTGCCACAGCAAGGACGTTTGGGCTCTTGCTGGCGAGAAGTGAGCGCAACGCTAAATCTTGCGTTAAAAAATGCGATTTTTTATAAATATCTTCGAATCCAGTCCTCCCTTTCTGCATTCTTGAATTCCAGGTTTCAAAAGATTATAGTGGCCATCCTGTGGCGGAAACTCAACACCTAGTTGTAGAGAAAGTGTTCTTTAGGGAGAGATGTCCTTTTACTGGAATATTGCTAACTATTAAAATTGACAATTTCTGCGATAAACATTTTTTTTTGTAGAGAGATTTCCTTTAGAGGGAGTGACCTCTCTCTCTCATGGAAGTGGTTTTGCTGTATTTACACTCATGGACAAAACTTAAAGAATTTGTACCTTTCAGCATGTATATATCGGGATTCAGAAAATAACTGAAAGATATTACAGTGACCTTTATTGACAACACACGAGATAACCAAGTGTGAACAGCTTCTGTTTTCTAAAAAAAAAAAAGACAACTGGAGACATCAAAGACTTTCTACTTCCTTAAGTTTTGTTCATGAGTGTAAATATAGACATCCACACAAGGGCTTGTGTTCTGCCATTGAGAAAACACCATTTGCCCATTGAAGAAGAAAAAACCTTTGATAGGAGGACAATTAGCCCCACCTGCCAATATGGATTCTGGAAAAATTGACAAAAGATTTGTTCACAATGTCTTATTGGAAATACAATGGGTCAAGCGAAAACCACTCCTACAGATGGATAACAAAGAAAAATAGAGTGCTTCCTAAATAAGGATGTTTCCATGTCTCCCGTGGAGTTTTACACACGTTCGTGGGACATTTAGAAACAAATTTTCAAAATACGATCACTATTTACACTCTTGTGTTTTCGCTAATAATGGGTTCCCCACTATGTACCAGGTGTAAGTCACAACCTGCAACTTCAAACCACATTGTTTACTGTATTGGCTCATTCATTGATGAATTCTACTCATCCCCACTACAGACGTCAGCAAGCTATACAGGCTCTTTGATGTCCTGCTATGTGGAGATAAGAAATACTTTTATTGAGGAATTGATTTTTTTACACTATTAGTGGAATTATAGGGAATAAACTGTGAGAGGAAAATGGTTGTTTTCTAAGGTATCGCTAATGTGTTGTACGCAGTCTGTCAGTGAGGGTACTGTGCAGAACCTGACGGCCATCCAGATGTTAAAGATTTCGGAGGACTTCTTCACGTCGCTGTGAATGAAAAGAATGACGCCCGAGTTCTGGCACTACTCAGTGCTGGAGAAGCCGGAGGTGGAGGCCATGGAGTGCTACACATTTGCCTGGCCCATGTGCGTCGACGATGACTTCCGCTTGTTGCACTGCACCGTGCCCACGCAGGAGGACCTGGTGCTTTTGCACCACATGATGGGAAACATGCAGTACTTCCAGCATTACGCCAACCAGCTGTTTGCCCTCCAGTGGGGCGCCAACCCGAGCTTCCACGAGGCCATCGGAGAAGTCATGGAGCTGTCGGTCGTCACGCCCAAGCACCTCCACAAGATCGGCTTCCTAGACAAGGGGGAGAACGACACGGGTGAGTAGCGCTAGGGAGGCCTGCAGGATCGAGCAGCCAGGACTATATGCTGATTGTGCGCAGAGACCGAGATCAACTTCCTTATGTTCATGGCGCTGGAGAAGATCGCCTTCCTTCCGATCAGCTACCCCATCGACCTGTGGCGCTGGGACGTCTTCCGCGGGAGCGTCAACAAACTCAACGACCGGTGGTGGCAGCTACGGCTGCAATACCAGGGGCTGTGTCCCCCCGTGCGCCGCTCCGAGACCGACTTCGACCCTGGAGCGAAGAACCACGTGCCAGGCGACACCCCGCAAATCCGCCACTTCTTCAGTTACATCCTGCAGTTCCAGCTGCAAGAGGTGCTGTGTCGAGAGGCCGGCCACGTGGGCCCGCTGCACACCTGCGACATCTACGGCTCGCACGCGGCGGGCGACAAGCTGGTCGGGCTGCTGAGGCTGGGCAGCTCCATGCCGTGGCAGGATGCCCTGGCCAGGATGACCGGTGGTTCGGGCAAGCTGGACGCCAGGCCGCTGCTTAACTACTTCGCCCCGCTCCGGCGGCACATACGGGACAGCCTGGGCAATTCCACCATCGGCTGGACCTCCGGCGACCACAACATCTGCCCCTAGACAGCCGTCGGCCAGGACACCAGCAACCACTCGGCCGCGCGGCCTCTCTACGCGCATCTCCTCAAAATCAATAAATGGTTTGTTGTTAATTATCTGCATGGTTGTTTGTCTTGATCTCCGCGTGGGCCCGTTTGGCGGCCATCACCTTGGCTGTTCCACTTTGTCCAAGTGGAACGTCGCCCTATCTTTGGGGAATGAAACTTGCCAGAATTGAACTACCTCTCTGACAACACCTAGTTACAGAGCAATATTGTTCTCTGGAGAGAGGTGTCCTCTTACCGGAGAGTTAATATTTAGCACAAATGGTAGTTTTGACGAAAAAGGTGTCCTCTTATAGAGGTTCTGTTCTACTGGGAGTTAGGACAGAATGGCTGATCATCCAAACTGGCATCTTAGGTTACGTCAGTTTAAAAAGGCATTTGCTTATCATAGGTAACTCATGTCTCACATCCTATGTGTAAAACCATTTGTTGACACTTACCATTAACGTAACAATCCCGTTTGTGACGCCAAGGAAGCTACAACTAACTCTCTCACATGAGGTAACCAGGACTCCTGGAGCCTACTGAAGTCACGGCCCCGACATGTCTAATGGTGGAGTTTATCTGATGTACTTGATTCTGTACAGAGGCAAATATTCCTGGAAGGATGGTGGCTGTTTGGTAGGCTGTGGTGGTGGACAGTTTCGTCTTCCTGGTGACAATGTCGTCTTTTGCTTTTTCTGCAGCATCAGGTTTGCCAAAGCCGTGACTGTTTGGATGGTAGAGGTGGTTTGAACAAAAGGTTAAAAAAACACAGGTCTTCTGTGGTACCTTCAGTTTGTCTTCAGTGGACCTGCAACACATCAGTGGTATTGTCACGTAGGAAATCAGGAATGACAAACTTAAGAATGACGCGGCAATTTATATATTTACCTGCAGGTTCCTGGAACCACCACGTACACAAGTCACCCTCCTTCTGTTTACAAGGTCAGTGAAAGTTCAGTTACTGAGGTGGGCAGGTTTATTTCTTGGGATTTTTTAAGGGATTCGGTTACAAAACCACTTGATTAGGAACCGCTCAACAAAAGAGGTTTATGATAATTGCAACAATGGATAATATGTGAAGGTTATTCACATAATAGACAAAATGTAAACCGGTGATTCGATTTCGGTTCATGACTGTCGGGAATCGAGGATGTTACCCATTCGTCCACCGACTTCTTATATTTTTTCCAGGGATTCTGTGGATTAGGTTGATGTTAGCATTTATAAAATATAAGAGTGGAAATGAGGGAAGGTTTATTTATTTCGTCTCAGTTTCCAGGTGTTAGATTCGAGTCAGCTCGTCCTGTGTACTTACATATGCAAAGTTGGTTATTTTATGAACTCTGTCGATTAATATATGTAAATATTCTGGGTTTTAAGATATAGTACAAACACAGCCACATCAACCAATGTTTTATTAAACTCCCGACGTTACAGTGACTGGCTCTCATTCTCTAATCATTCCACTGAAGAGAGTGACAGTAAGTCACTGAAACGTCAGGAGTTAAATAAATCATTGGTTGATGTAGCCGTTGTTTGTTCTGAATCAACTTCCAACCAAAAAAAAATGATGATCTTCGGATTTAAGTTTTAATTTTTTTGTTGTTTTGTTTGTTTCCTCAGTAATAATCGCAAATATATCAATATTGGGCCTGATTGATTGATAAATCTATATATATATATATATAAATGAATGTCTGTCTGTCTGTGTGTGTGTACTCTATAGATTCAAAAACCATACATCCAATCGCCGTGAAATTTTGGGATATTATTAGGTATAAAACAACACTTAAAGTTGCATCGCATAAGTTTCTTTTCTTTGATAAATCAATATTTATTTCAAAGAGAAATATTTCATATTTCTAACTTTTTTGGATGAAGTATGAAAGGGTGAAAATATGAAGAGTAATGGCGAATGGAAAAATAAAAGTGTCCAGGGGCGGGAATCGAACCCACAACCTTCCGCTTACCGGGCAGATGCCATGTCCACTAGGCTACCCTGGACGTATTCTTCCGTTCGTAAATAATACTTAAAGTGACTTATAATACATTATAAAGGACTGCGGCGTATGATTATAAAACAACACTTAAAGTTGCACCGCATAAGTTTCTTTTCGGTGAAAAATCAATATTTATTTCAAAGAGAAATATTTAATATTTCTAACTTTTTTGGATGAAGTATGAAAGGGTGAAAATATGAAGAGTAATGGCGAACGGAAAAATAAAAGTGTCCAGGGGCCGCAGTCCTTTATAATGTATTATAAGTTACTTTAAATATTATTTACGAACGGAAGAATACGTCCAGGGTAGCCTAGTGGACATGGCATCTGCCCAGTAAGCGGAAGGTTGTGGGTTCGATTCCCGCCCCTGGACACTTTTATTTTTCCGTTCGTTATTACTCTTCATATTTTCACCCCTTCATACTTCATCCAAAAAAGTTAGAAATATTAAATATTTCTCTTTGAAATAAATATTGATTTTTCACAGAAAAGAAACTTATGCGGTGCAACTTTAAGTGTTGTTTTATAATCATACCCCGCAGTCCTTTATAATGTATTATTAGGTATATCCCCGGAGAAGTTTTTGAAAAATAATTTTTTGAATATCTTGAATATCCTTAGAGTTATTTGCAGATTTGTAGCTTTAACTCGCAAGCAGAGCCACCTTTCGACGAAGATAGGCTTAGGTCTGCCCCACCCCCTGTCGAGAGAATGTAATTGTCCGGCCGCCGGCAGGATGGACATTCCAAGTACCCACCGACCAATCAGTGGGTTCAAGGGGTCCTGGCGCGCGGGGGCAGAGTTGGTGACACAGCTGTGCCAAGTAGACAAGAAAAAGGCCTCGCGGGGGCTTGCCCAAGATGACCTCCGGGAACTTCGTCCATCTTTCATAAACGACCATGATTTTATTCAACTTATCGAGTATTTTTCAAGGGTCTGGGAAAAATGTTCACTAGATAAAACAATGATTTTGTAATATAGAAAATTAGGAAAGACAAAATTCAGGATGACACGGCACAAAGGGACCGGGAAAAAATGTTCACTTTATCGAGAGATTCAAATTTACGAGTTTCAAATTATTAAAAAATATATATTTTTTATATAAGTTTATAGAGAATTGTTTTAACAAATGTTCGTTAGACAAACCTTTACTCGGGTAAAAACCCGGGCGAAGCCGGGTGCATCCTCTAGTAAATGTATAAATAAACAGAAACATGGCGAGTAGGTGGCGTAGATCTTGCAGCTGTTGGAGCTCCTAACTAAGTGTCAGGAAATCGGGGGATGATGTCTTCTTTGTTTTGTAGAGTATCTTGTACAGTTGGGTTAGATTGTAGCTGAATTTATATTTTCTTAACGGAAATTTGGTACATCTCTTCTAGATCGGGTTAGTTTGAGGGAAGTTTGAAGAATAGAAAAATATAAAAATTCATCAGTTCATAGAACAATATTGTCACTGAATAATTATTTTAAATATTCTGTTGTATATAATCATAAATATTTGCATAGTTATCACCCCTTACCATGCTTGTATATTATCACTTTTAAATAAAATTTAGAAATAGTTTGCATTATCTATCTATATATTAATAAAATGCAAATTTCATAAGTGGTGTTCGCTAAAAACTTTCGTTACAATGCATCATTTTCGACCAAATTTTCAACATTTATGTAAAACGAGATGGAGCAGGTTTTGCTTAACATCAAAATATTTTTCCTAACTTTAACATGCGTAACTTCGCTGTTATCGATTAAATACAAAAAAATCAACAGAGTTAATTTTATTTATAGATAAATACAAAAAATAAATTAAGCAATTCATTCAACTCAATCTAAAAAAATATTCAAAACAAGCAATTTTAAGATAACACCATATGTAAAACAGTCGGCCAAGAAAATAACAACGATATTACATCTTTCTCACATATTCACTCACAATCTTGATTAATAATTAAAACTAATCTTTAACATTGTTTATTTTACTTCATAATATATAATATTCGTCAGGCAAACTTTCACTCGGATAAAACCCGGGCGAAGCCGGGTACACATCCGCTAGTATATATATAAAATTGAATGTATGTCTGTCTGTGTGTACTCTATAGATTCAAAAACCATACATCCAATCGTCGTTAAATTTTGGGATATTAATAGGTATATCCTAGGCAAGGTTTTTGAAAAATAATTTCTTGAATATCTTGAATATCCTTAGAGTTATTTGCAGATTTGTAGATTTAACTCGTAAGCAGCGCCCCCATGATAACAAGTTTTTTATCTATAAGTTTTATTATCACTAAGTTTATTATCTTAAAGATTATTTATCAAAAGTAAGATTTTCTACATATTAATTGCGCACAAGTCAAAGTTAGTTATCGAGTATTTTCCAAGGGACCGGGAAAAAATGTTCACTGGATAATACGATGATTTTGTAATGTAGAAAATTAGGAAAGACAAAATTCAGGATGACACGGCAATTTATTTGAGACAAGATGAGATAAGGGACTGGGAAAAAATGTTCACTTTATCGAAAGATTCAAATTTAGCAGTTTCAAATTATCAAAATATATCTTTTTTTTTATAAGTTTATAGAGAATTGTTTTAACAAATGTTCGTTAGACAAACCTTCACTCGGGTAAACCCGGGCGAAGCCGGGTACGTCCGCTAGTAATCAATTTTTTTACTTAAACATTTGTTATACTCGTTATCACTACCGTGACAACTGGTGGAGAAGCTGGATTATCCCCTCGCCACCCAAGCCGTTAGAAGAAGCTGAAGACTAGAAGGGTTATAACCTCAAGAGAACATTGCTATGGTGAAGCAAGAGACACAGACAAAAATGGGTGAGTACCACTTTCAACCTTTAAGAAACCCTTCTATTTTTATGGGAGAACACAACCAGAATCTAGAAAAATGGTTGAAAGAATACCATCGCGTCGCTCGTTACAACTGCTGGGATGATTCAATGTGCCTCGCAAATGATTTTTTTTCCTCCAAGGAACAGCGCACAGATGGTACGAATATGTCGAAGAGAAAATTAATTCATGGGATATTTTTGTGAACATATTTTCTCAGAATTTCGGACATCATGTCGCTCAAAAAGATCAGCTGGCTGAGAAACTCAAAACTCGAGCCCAAGGGAAGGAGGAGACCAGTGATTCATACATTCAATATGTTTTCCAATAGTGCCGAGAAGTGAATCCGGCTATGATGGAAAATGAAATAGTTGCACACTTGACGAAGGGAATATCGGAGGAGATATATCAGTCAATCATCATTTTAGACATTGCAACTATCGATGAGTTCATCAAATGGTCTCGAAAAATCGAGGCTTCACATAAACAACGTGTAAATAAACGTGTAGTATTCGACAGACTACCAAATGTTGCCGCCATCGATTCAGCAGACTCTGAATCAATGGAAGACTTACTCGACGCATCGTGCGTGAAGTTCATCGCGCACTAAATCCGGAGTCAACTACCCTTGAACCATCTTTTCTGAAAGAAATTATCCGAGAATAGATTGAAAAAAGTCCTCAAAAAAGATAATAAAGTCACGTGGAACTCTGACCAACAGGATGCTTGTGATTCCTTGAAAAAAGCATTGATGTCTAAACTTGTTCTTGCCTATTTCGAAGAAGAACTGCCAACCGAGCTTCATTCTGACGCCAGCGAATATGGAATTGGAGCTGTCCTCGTACAGATCAACGATGGGAAAGAGCGGCCAGTTGGTTATGCTTCAAGACCTTTATCTAAGGCGGAGAAGAATTACTCATCAACGGAAAGAGAATGCTTTGCCGCATTATGGGCCATCAATAAATTTCGATCGTACTTTTTGGTCGTGAGTTTGTCATTGTCACTGACCACCACGCTCTTTGATGATTATCTAACCTGAAGAATCTGTAAGGAAGGCTAGCAAGATATGGGCTTCAAAACTCCAAGAATACAATGTGATGGTTTGTATTTGTATAAAAGAAACATTCGCGCTTTTGGATCCTTTTATTTTATATGTATAGATGGCGCGTTATTGCTTTGTGTTAATTTGATGGTTGTTTATGAAAGTGGACGCAAACACCAAGATGCCGACTGTTTTTCTCGAAATCCTCTCCAACTTGAATCGGAAGAAACATACAATGATAAGGATGATGATATACCCTCAATATCTGCTCTGATGTGCTTCGAGGCTGAACAAAGACAAGGCCCTCAAATTAATAAATTGATAGAGGAAACAGAAAGATTTGGTGCTGAATCGAAAGGATATGAAATGTTAAAAGGACCTTATGCAAAAAGTTTTTCGACCCCCTGGGAAACCAGCACCTTTTAGTTATCCCCAAGCACTTACGATTAGAACTACTGAAAAGTTTACATGACTCTCTCACAGCAGGTCATCTTGGATTTTCGAAGACATATGATAGAGTTAAAAACAAATATTTCTGGCCAGGACTTCTCCGGGACATACGGAAGTATGACGCTCATTGTAAAGAGTGCCAAAGAAAAAAACTATCAACTCAAAAGCCACCCGCACTACTTACGGCCATACCTCCTGCAACCTCCCCTTTTCACAGAGTTGAAATGGACCTCTTTGGAATATTTCCCAAGTCTGATACTGGTAATAGGTGGATCATAGTCTGTACAGACTATTTACCCCATTTGCTATTACCAAGGCCTTATCCACAGGAGAAGCAAAAGAAGTTGTCAAGTTCTTTATGGAAGATGTCCTCAAACACGGAGCCCCCAGAGAAATCATTACGGACCGTGGGCGGGTATTTCAATCAAAGATGTTAAAGGAACTTACTAACTAGTGCTATTCCATACACAGGTTTACAACAGCCTATCATCCCCAGACGAATGGATTAACAGAAAGACTTAATAAAACATTGGCTAACATGCTGGCAATGTATGTGGGCGTCGATTAAAGTGACTGGGACGTATTCCTGCCCTAAGTGACCTGGGCCTACAACACCACAAAACAAGATACGACAGCTTTTACCCCTTTTAAACTGATCCATGGACGCGAAGCCGAAACGATTGTGGACACTCTTTTCCCAAATCCGCATGAAGACCTCCAAGAGGAATACAGTCAGAAGATTGCCTCGCGAGTCGAAGAGACTAGGCAGCTAGCAAGATTAGAAACCTTGAAAGCCCAAGAAAAGGACAAGGCCAGATATGATTCAAAGCACGAGGCAATAGATTGAAACGTCGGTGACCTGGTATGGATTTTTATCCGGTTTGAAAGGTGGGACTATTAGAAAAACTGATGAAAAGTTACTTTGGGCCATACAGGGTTACTCGGAAACTCTCTGACGTGACCTTCGAAGTTGAAGCTGTGGACCAACCAACCACCAAACAAGAGACCTGGTCCATGTACTGATAATGAAAC